AATACCATGGAGCCTTATCATCTTGTTTTGGCCAACTTATGATGATCTTTGAATCCCCTTCAATCACCAACTTTCTGATCCTTATCTCCCATGCTTTTTGAACCCCAAACACAGCTGCCTTCAATCCTGCAACCGTGGAATCCCCTTCCCCTAAAGGTCCAGAATACAAGAAAACCAAATCTCCTTTGCCATTTCTTATCACCCTCCCATTACAGCAGCACCCAGATTGCCAAAACAGCTCCAATCAAAATTTAATTTAAAGAAATCATCCACTGGCGGCTTATCACTAGCTTCTTCTTTGCTGAATATGATGCTGCAATCACTCCCCAATTTCTTATAATATCATCAAAAGTAAAGTCAAAAAACAATTTTGTTGTCTTCACCCTATGTGTCACCTTTACCATTATGCTTTGAATCACAGACTCTTTGCTTCTTTTTTCCTCCTAAAAAATTCTCCTGTTTCTTTCTTCCTAAAATGTCCAAACCATTGCGGCTCTTGTGCACCTCCCCAGTAATCCTCCCCTTCTTCTCGACCAACTAAAAGTTGAGGGGTCAAACAATCTGTCCAAACTAGTTGGAGCGTTCCACTTGCAACCAAGGGCAGGAAATGAGTAGTTTCACCATTTGGTTCACACAAAACACACCAATTTGGAGATAGGCACCACTCAGGTCTTCCTTTTTTTTTTTTTTTGATCAGCAAAATGAGAATTTTATTCAATAAAGAGAATTAAATACATAGTTATAATAACAGATAGAAAACAGACATTTCAACGGAAAATGTTACAATAAAGCCCCAAAAAGTTGTTGCCTTTGAACTCCCTGTTTAGCTAGAGAATCAGCCATTCCATTTGCAGTTCTCCTGATCCATGTGAACGAGGCATTAAGTTCCTTGCTATACTTACATCTCCCTTAACGGATATCTATAGATCCAAGGAACATTATTGCTTGAATTGGTCCAAGATATTACTGTTTTTGAGTCCCCTTCTATCTCCTAGTTCTTAAGATCAGCTTGCTTAACAATCATTAGCCCTTGAAGTAGAGCTAATAGTTCAGCTTTTAAAGATTCACCTTCCGCTAAAGGTCCTGAGTACATAGCCTACACTTTGCTTGAGGAATCTTTGATCACACCACCAGTGCTTGCCATACCCGGGTTTCCTATAGAGCTCCCATCAAAGTTCAGCTTTATCTTGTTGGGACCTGGGGGCTTCCATTCCATCACTTTTCTTTCCTTCTTAGTAGTGTGTGCCACTTCATTCCAAGCTCTTACTATATCAGTATTCAGTAATTGGAAATTTTGAAAGAGCTAGAGCTATTTTATCCAGTGTGCAACTTTTATCTTTATGGGCTCCACAATAGTTTCTTTTGGCCTATGTTTCTCATTGAAGATTCTTGCATTCCTTTCCTCCCATATTGTCCACACCACCACTGCCTAGGGATGACAATTTTCTCCATTTCCCCGATCCTTGTGGGGATCCACCCCGAATGGGACGGAGATGGGGATGGTTTTCCTCCTGCGGGGACGGGGATGGGGAAATTTTCATCCCCGTTGGTGGGGACAGGGAGAGCACTCCTTGCCCCACGAGGACCCGATCCCTGCCCCGTGGGATCCCCGCTAATATATATGTATATATGTATACATGCGTCTATATATTAATATTTTAAAAATATGTTTAATATATTTATATATGTATGTATATGTTTATATATGTATATATGTATACATGCGCCTATATAATAATATTTTTAAAAATATGTTTAAATATTTTCTAATGGGGTTGTAAATTTTAATTATTTTATTTTTATTTTTTAGATAAAATAAAAAGCAAAAACAAAATGGCTGACGTTATAAAAATCATGGGAAGTGGGGATCCCTGAGGGGATGGGGATAACCTTGTCCCCGCTATGGGGACGGGGAGGGGGAGACCGGGAGAGGCTCCCTGTCCCCGCCCCGCCCCATTGCCATTCCTACTGCTGCCCTTATTGGTTTCCACATAACCCTTTCTCTTTTTGTTGGCTGCCTTACAAAGTTTGGATTGAAGAGGCTTTCTATATCCCGGGGAGCACTCCACCTGCAACCAAAGAGAGAGCAAAGAGATTCCCAAACAAAAAGCACAAAAGGGCAATGGATCAATAAATGGGGTAGGGATTCACCATCTGCAGAGCAAAGAAGGCACAAAATTAGAGATGGGTTGTAAATTGTAGTTAGAGACTGAATACAAATAAGTGAAAAGGGAGCAAAAAGGAGTATCGCCTAGCCAAACATAAAAAAACCACCCTAGAGCCACAACCCACATCAAACCTGATGAGATTAAGAAAGATAGGATATACCTCTTGATTGCACCACGGAAAACCTAGAGCCACAACCCTGGTCTTCTCCTTTGTAATAAGTCATGAGTATTGATTGCACCATGGAAAACCTACCAGCAAAAAGCACTCACCCTAGGAAGGATTGGACAACACCACACTTATTTAATTGGGAACTGTACATGAGGGAGAGAACACTGCTACCTTCCCCAACCTTAAAAGAACTGTGCTTTGAAAGTTGAAACTGTATAACTGAACCATATTTCCTTCCCAAACGCTCGTACCATAAGACTATTGTAGGGTTAGTAGCACCCGGTTCATTGGGGAGCTACCATATTTACATTCAATGACTTGATGCCACTGGTGATTGGATTCCTCACCCATTCTCCTCGATATTCTAAGAGTCAAGCTCAGCTGTAAGAGATATTAGGCAAGTTGGACCCCGTTCCAACTTGAGGGGGAATGTTGAGATATTGGGGGGAGGGGATATATGTGGTGTGGTTCTCTAATCATTTTATCCTGGAATTGATGCATAATACAGGACTCCACAAGAGAAGTTTTATTAATTTTCTAATGGTAGGGGAAGACAGCAATGCCTTTACAAAATGAGAACAATGACATCTTATTTCTCAATAATTTTTTATTCTAAAATTTTGAAGGAGAGGTGTTTCAAGTTTTGTTTATGTTGTAATGTATTGCTTTTTTTTTTGAAAAGAAGTAACATAAATTTTATCCATGATGAAGATAATCATACAAAAAGGGGGGGGGCAAGGATCAATTCACCCCCTAAGGATCTGATCATAGATCTCACAGATTGACAGAATTAAGCATCACAAACAAGTTCTGATTACAAAACACAGGGATGGTAGAAAGCCAAGAGGCAAGTCTGGCTACAATACACTGAATCAGCACCTCTGACTCTTTCTTCTCTTTTCTAAAAATTCTGTCATTTCTCTCAGACCATATAGTGCTGATAATTGCAGCTGGAATGGCACTCCAAATGTATTTTCCTTTTTTTGATAAGCCCGGCAGGTACCAGCACTTAAGCAGATTCTTCACTGTGCCCGGCATAACCCAACTAATACCAACAGCATTAAGGAAGTGAGACCAGATTCTCCAAGCAGTTGTGCAATGCATACAGAGATGGGAAGTCAGTTGCTAAGGTCATCTAAACTAAGACCTCTTTTTGCCAGATTGCTTTTTGTTAGACAGTCCCCTAGTGCAGAAGCCCACGGCAAGAAGTTGATTTTGGACTGAGGTTGAGGATTCCAGATTTGTTTATATGGGAAGTCAGTTGTCCTTCTAACAGTCATACTCTCAGCAAAAGATCTCACTGTGAACTTTCCATCAGCAGTCCAAATCCAGATCCACTTATCAGCTAAAAGGAAAATGCATTAAGGCAGCTCAGCAAATTTACAACATCATCCACTTCCCAGTCATGGAAATCTCTTCTGAATTTAGACTCCCACACCACTTCACCGGTTCACCTGGATTAACTCGAAGGAGTCAGCCACCATTGCCTTTTTATCCTCTTGTCTTGCTATCCTTGTCAATTGGTCCCAAATCAGTTCATAACGTGCAACCATACATTAAATCCAAATCAATGTTTTATAAACAGGACCAGATTGGATGGTGAAGTCAGAAAAATGAACTAGAGAAAATTTTGATTCAAAATTTAGGAACTGATTTGGGTGGTTTTTGTACCGTGGTGTTGTGTTTCTGTTTTGACTTGACATAAACACCAAATAGGTGTACTTCAAGGCTTCAACATACAAAAAACATGTTTAGTTTGGCGGATTTAGCTTGAAATGGAGACACCACACTTTGCATTGGGTTAATGTGCATGGGGGTATTGGGGGAAACAGAAAAATGTTTTTTAAATTTTGGTGATCCATTTAGGGCACCTAATATGTGTTTGAAACTATAATAAAATATTTGTGCATTTTGTTTTGTGCCAAAACAACTTTTATGGCGTTACTTAAGCCGTGTTAACCCAACGCACCACGGCTGTGCAATGCCATGAACCTTGTTGGTCAGGATGATTGAAAGAACTGGTTAAACCAGAAAAGGGGAACTAGACAGCTTTGCAGTTCAATGCCCCATTTTTTAAAATGTTGCTCCAAATTGGGCTGTGAAAGATACGGATAAGATTGTCTTAAAGTTTTAACATCAATTCTTCCTCTTCTACTGATACAAATGATTCATAACTGAAGGATTCAATAGAGATTATTTGATTTGATATATTTGGAAACAATATTGTGCTTTGTAATAATGTATGATCTACTTTCTTATACAAATCTGGCTGTTAAGAAATACCCTCTTTGAATCAGTAACAATAAGAAAACTTGGACCTGGATACAACACGTTCCTCCATTGTTTCTCTCGTTTGTTTTGCTTGCTTTTTTCTGTTGAGGCGAACAATTAGAAATTAAGTAGGTAGCTAATTTCCTAATTTGCATCTCTTCCCCTAATTTAGAGAAGGGGACAAGTGATAATACTTAAAAAGCTGGGATAGTAATATTAAAGAGTTAATCATGCTAGGAGCAATTTGGCCTTTTGAACCGTTTTGGTGATTAAGTTTACTTTCTTGGGGTAGTAAGATTTATAACTTATTTTGAGGGCTGTTTTTCAGATTTAAAGCGGTTCAGAAAAACACTGCTTCTTATATTCACTCTGTTGATGTTTTGGTTTTGCAGTGGTGTTTCATTTAGTCATTCCGAAGGCAGTGTATGACTGGTTCTATCATTCTAGTGAACAGCTTCCAATGCTCTTTTAAAGTTGTGTGGCTGCCATTAGGCATTCAATCTGGAACACTGTAGGAGAAAGAAAGACCAATTGCCATTTAAATGGGTCTTGGCTATGCCATGCTCTTGCGCACTGACAGTTTGATAACGCTTGTCAAAATGATCTAGTGCGTTGGTAACTTATCCCTCTTCTAAGCAGTGTAATTTTTAGGTTGTGCTCCAGCTGTGGTGAAACTAAACCTAATGATTGGTTGGTTCTGGTAGATTTGATATATTGCATTCTTGCACCTCGGGCACTGCTGTTACCTGGTTTTTGGGAAATTATTGCATGTAGTGAGATGGTAGGAGATATTGTAATGGTAATGCTATGATAAATGATCCTGTACTCACACCGTTTGAATAGCCTTTACAGCCTTGCATTGGGAATATCTCCCCATGAAGTAAAGCACATAAGTACAGAGATATTCCCAAATCCCAATGCAACTGTTCGAATGGGCGATTGACCCCAACCCTCAACACATGTGCTGCACCCCATCTCCATCTGCACTGCAAATGGGGATCCCCAAATTTGCCACGCCCCAATCATTCCTATATGCAATCCTGTGTTATGAGAAAAGCATATTATACATATAACATTTATAATTTATATAATAAAATATAAACATAATATAAAATAGGGTTAGAGTGTCACAGACTCACAGCAACAACTTGGCAAACTCCTTTCTCTGTTTGGCAATGAAAGACAAGAAACCAGAAAAAATTATGCCCTAAAAACCTCATGATACCCAAAATGGCCAAAATTTTGAAAGTCATCTGTTTTTCTGCACCTAAAATCTTTTATTTAACGGTTCTATAAATCATGGTAGATTAAGATATTGCCAAATAGTCTAGATCTTTAAAGACAAGATCCCAAAAGCTCATTACATCTTTTGGCCATTTAGACTATTGGAAGATCTCCCTAAAAAAGCTTGCCAAATGACACCTATATATATATATATATATATATATATATATGCTTGCCAACATTAACACTTTTGTTTCCCCTATTTCTCAGCTTGATTTAGGAAAGCATAATCTGATTTAAAAATACAGACATCATGCTGACATCTTCCTCTTGCAAATGGCAATCTACATTCAAATGAACTTGACTTTGGTGAGGGTCGAATCTGCCTCTCACTGTGCTATGGTGCAAGATAGATCTAGTAGCTAATTAATTATATGGGGTCGCTTAGTTCTTCTCATCTTCTGCGACCAAACCTTCCTACACCGACCTTAGAGGTCAGGAATCTGGATGATTGGTACTGTCTTACAGAACACAAAGTCACAAACCCGTTGCTGAGAGGGAATATAACGTTGGTCATGCAGAAATGGCACACTATGAAGTGTCTTAACCGAAGTACTATTTTCCGTAGCATTCAGCTTCAGCTTCTAAACAATGAAGCCCTTTCTTCAGTTCTATGCTTTGAGACTTCAATTGAAGAGTTTGTCGGTTGCAATCCGAATGCTACAAATGAGGGGTATCAATGGACTGGTTTTGGGTTGGATTCGTTCAAATCAAAATCAATTTGGATGGATTGGATGGACTGATAGGATATATTGAATTGGATCAGTCTAGACTTAATGGTCTAAAGTACTTATTGGATTGGATTGGACCTGGTCCATTCAAAATGCATTTATATTGGACTGGGTGGGATTGAACCAATATCCAGTCCATTAATAGAAGATAAGAGTACAGGTATCAATGAACCAGGTTTGGGTTATAAACTAAAACCAATTTGAAGAGATTGAACGGTATTGGACTGGATCCAAAATGGTCCAGAGTAGTCATTGTATTGGGTTGGACCTAATCCATTTGTAATGGACTCATAGGATTGAATAAAATCCAGTCCAATTGGCACCCCTGCTACCGCTCTATGTAATGTTTTTGGCAATAAACAAAATTTGCTGGAGTGGATAAATTTACAATGAAGCCTAGACTGAAGGGAGACGAAGTGGTGTTGCCTTGCTATAGAAATATGTGTTGTCAGTTGTTATATCATACGAGTGTATTTCAACTAGATAAACATAACTGTTTGACCAATCATAGCCATTTATGGTTAAAATATCAAATTTCGTGTTTTAGGTTTCAACTCAAAACATTGCTGGGTGAAGTTTTCAGCTCTTAATCTTAATTACACTGCTTGATGCTATAGAAATTCAGCTATCTCAGTCTCTGAAAGTGTAGGCAATATTGGATCCAAATTGGAGATTGTATTTAATCAGAAATAAACTTGATTGGATCTTCTTGCGAGACTTTTACTTTGAATCATTGTTGAAGATAAAACTAAGTGAAGAGCGCAGGTGAACGTTGGAGTCTATTGTTTCAAAACCAAACCCAGATGAAATCTTGAAAGTGGGTTGGGATGTTTCGTTGCGATTTGCAAACCAGCAATTTCCATACTTGCATTTTGCAGCCAAAATGATTGGGATTCAATTACGAGTGAGACTTTAACCTCGTGCTTCAAAACATGTGCTTGTGTTTATTGCAGCAATGCTCCAAGAGATCAATTAAGACAAATCAACTTTTGGAAAGCTTCATTTTACGTGGTACTTGATTATTTAAGACAAATCAACTTCTTATTTGGATTAATAGAATGCATAGGAGTGCAAATAAGAACAGCTTAAGTTTTTAAGTTGAATAGTTTCTTTAGGGATGACAACGGGGCAGGTTTGATGAGGGTTTCGTAAATTCTAATTCTATATCCTATCTGTCTTCCTAGACTTTTTAACCTGTACCTTCCCCAAAACTTGTAGTGAGTTTGATTTTCAGAATCTAAACCCTTCTGCACATGAAATGGAAAACCCTCCCCAACTCTACCATTCGCGCATTTGAGGGTGGGGCAGGTTAGGTTGGTGGGTTGGGTCTAGAACCTGCAACTAATTTCCTATTATTTTATGTTACGTATAAGCAATAAACAAGTAAAATAACATGAACAAACATCAAATTTCTAATTATTTGATTAAAACATATAAAAAGTATATAAGGTATCACTTATCCTTTACATAAAATTTAAAATATTATTAAATCCATTACCTAATACGACATATATGAGTTTATAACCTTCAAGAATATGCGGATTGGGGAGGGTTGAGTTTAGCCTACCGTACACTACTCGTACCTTTAGGCTGCATTTGGAAACGATGCAAATAAGTGTGAATCCAGATATATAGAGTGTAAAACGGTTCATATAAATTGCAAAGTTGGGTTAGTTTTGCATTGACAAATTTACCTTCTTACCAAACAGACTTTTAGCTCTAATGGATGCAAAACATGAATTTCAATAAAGCATATGGTTTTTTTTTTACTTCTTTTTTATCGATGTACCTTTACATCTTATTATTGATGTAAATATGCATTGCTCTGTCATTTATCAATGCATAAATATAATGTTGCCAAACACAGGCAAAAGTGAACCAGAGTGCAAATTTACCCTGAACTGGAATTTACACTCCATTTGCATCGTTTCCAAATGCAGCCTTACGGGTAATAAAATCTCAAAACCTATTCATCCCCCAAAATTAATTTTCAAGTTAAAAAAACTGCCCTGATGGAGTAGGTCTGGCAGATAGGGTAGAAATTACCATCCTTGATATGGTACCGAAACCTGTTAGACCGTTGGTCTAGTGTTAAATTCTCATTGCTTTCATTATAACTAATTAAATTTTATCAAAAGGTATGAGTCGGAATGTGTTTGTCTCCGCTTAGACCTGTTCATGGGCTGGGCTCGGGCTTGACTTTTGTCAAAATATGAATGGGCCTGGCCTGAAACCCAAGCCCAACATAGTGGAAAGTTAAGCCCAGCCCATGAACAGGTCTATCCATGATTCAAGCCTGATGGACTTTTAGAAAACAAAATCTATTCAAAGACCACACATAACCACTTAAGCTTTTAACTAAACAGTTGCTTGATAATCTACAATACAGACGAGAATTCTCAAGTCTTTGTGGTGATGCTGGAAAAATATAGATTACAGGACTCGCTCACGGCTTTACAAAAAGCCGCTTTATTATTTTTCCCTAAAACTGAAATGCATGGTTTTCAAACAGGGTTCCGTTTTACCCCAGAATTGTTATTTCATAAAAAACCGTTGATTTGGTCAGCAAACCACTGATTCAGGTGGTCAAACCATGTGAATTGCCCAACGGTTTTGACCTTTTTTTATTTTTTGTCAAAATAGCCATTCATTCGATTTGAATGATCAAACCGTTTGACTTAGGAACCGGACCCTAACCTATTAGTTATCCGGTTCGGTTTTAAAAACCTTGCTGGAACCTCATGCTTGATGTTTCACCGGCCGGTATTCGTCATCCATTACTCACTGAGAGTTGCATTGGTTTTATTGATTTAATAAAGGGAATGAAGATCCAACTAGCGAGCTCTCATTCGGTGTCTTCTACGTGTTTATCACTTATTGTAAAGGAAAAAGATAGAAAAGGTTTACAATTTTTTTGTTGCCTGCATTTTACAGTTGCCAATCAACGAAGAACAATTGGAGAGCAGCTAGGTGGAATTAAGTGAATCCTTTAATTAATTGTCTGGATTCTGAACTGTGGACTCTGGTCTCTGGAGGAGGATTAGATCACTCTCTCTACACCGGAACTGAAGTGTTTTAATTTGGGGTAATAAGTTAATTTGAAGATATATAAATCCCTTCCCGCTTAAGTTAGATTGTGTTATTTATTAAAATTCATGAATGGGTTTTGATTGATTAAAACTTTTCTCATTGCATGTTTTTTCCGTATCATAGATTTTCCCCTTTTTTTATATTTTAAATCTTATATTTGCACTGTACATATTTATGTTTATATAAATCCAATACATGGAAGCGGACTCAATTTTAAGAGAATATATAATTGTCATATCATGGAAAAGAGTAGTGTTTGATCCAAAAAGTAGGAAAAGAGAAACAAATTAAACAATTAATTTGTTACTGATCATATTCATCCAAAACGTATTAATTGATGCCTTTGTACACCTGAAGAGCTATGGATTATAACTGATTCTCCTAGCTATATCACCAGACTACCATTGTTGAATCTCATGAGTTGTTTTTTGAAAAGCAAAATCATACGAAAAGTCACTCAGAACATATGAGCTTTCACATAATTCTTTGAAATAATTTCAAAGAATACTTCGACCTCTGCAAAAAACCTCCAGTCGTTTTAATTAAATAATAAGTAAATATACAAATGCACCCTTTGGTAATGACCTTAACATGGAGATATCAAACCCACAACTATATGTCGATGTTCTTTCTCCAGATGGATGGTGTTTCTACTAACAAGTGAGGGTTAAAGTTCAACCCCAACATAGGCACTCTACCTACTCTATAGCCTTTGTTGTTCTCTTGATAAAGTGAACAATCAAACCTACTTAAACAAAGTCTTCATCCTAACCAAGTTTTTTATGGGCAAAAATGAGATTTTAAAAGCTCTAAAGCCCTATGGAGCAAAAACATAAAAAAGGGTAAATTTAGGATACTGGAAAGGTATGTTACCAGAAGAGTTTTGTTGATGACGACTTTTACTGATTGGTTTTAAGCTTTTTTTTGGATTGCCTTTCCAGTATCAAAGTCACTTTGTGAATGCCAAAATATAGGGGAGGTTTAAGTAGTTTTTAGAGGTATAAATTGACTTTATTAAATATATTCCTTGTTTTGAAAAAGATTAATCATCAAGGGGCGTCTTGGTCTATCATTCATTAATGAGAATACATTAGGCTGCATTTGGAAATGATGCAAATAAGTGTGAATGCAAATGTGTAGAGCGTAAAACGGTCCATATAAATTGTAAAGTTGGGTTAATTTTGCATTTACAACTTTACCTTCTTACCAAACAGACTTTTAGCTGTAATGGATGCAAACATGAATTCCAATAAAGCATATGCTTTTTTTTTTTTATCAAAAACCCACTTGAATGCAAATTTACTTCTTTTTTATTAATGTACTTTTACATCTTATTATCAATGTAAATATGCATTGGAAAATGTGTTTTCTGTCATTTGTCAATACATAAATGTAATGTTGCCAAACACAAGCAAAAGTGAACTAGAGTGAAAATTTACCCTGAACTTGATTTACACTCCATTTGCATTGTTTCGAAACGCAGCCTTAGGGAAATGGAGATAACCTGACTCTAGGTTTTGAACACATACTCTTTCCCCAATTCTAAAGAACAGAGAATATCAAACAAGGAGGAAAAAAAAAACCCTTTTCATTCTCTTCTACCATCTTAAATCCCATCTTTTCTGAACACAGATTTACTACTACTCACTTTCTCAACCTACAACCCAAATACAAGATGGTGATGTGTGGTTGCAATTCATGGCGGGCGGGTAGAGTCTGAGTAGAGAGTAGTGGGCAGGAAATCTGGTTTGATCTTTTCCCACCTTTGATTTTACAATATGATTGCCGTCAACGATGACCATGGCTAATGGTTTCAATAATCTACAGGTTTTATTGTTATTGGATGAGGAAGGTTGTCTATTAAAATTTGCTCTTTGGAAATATGTTAGGATTTAAAAATTTTTTAAGGTATTGTTCTTTTCGTTGTTCATATAATTTTAGATCAATACATCGGATTAAGTCAATATGTATGCATATATATAGTAGGTTAATCTATTTCTTTTATCTATTTATTATTATTTTTTTGCAAAGGGTTAGTGTTAATACTCTAATGGATAATAAAACATCTTTAGATTCTTTACTATTAGTTGTTAAAGGGTCTATTATACTTCTATCTAAAACTAGTATACTTTAAAAATTCAGACCCCGTTTGGTTCACAGGAATAGGGGGGTCTGGAATCAAGAATGGATTCCAATTCCAACTGTTTGATTGGCGGAGTGGAAATTCCATTTCTCAGGAACAGGAATGGTATTCTCCGATTCCAGTGTGTAGTATATATCTTGCCAAGAGACTTGTTTTGGGTAGCCAATGGGTATAGGGTTTAGGATGAGCAGCTGCAGGTTAACAAAGGGCTCAATTCTGGATCATAGAGCCACCTGCTGGTCTTTTTTTTGCCATAGAAAGGTTTATCAAAAAGGTTTACATCCATCTTCCATAGTCCATACCCCCTCTTGGTCAATGAACGTTAAACAAGGAGTTCGTTCTTTTTTGGACCATCCAGTTCAGTCTCATTTTGGACCGGGCCAATGGAGGGAGGGTTAAGGATGATCTCCCCGAGTTGGGGGTATCCTGATCTCATGTCTCAGACTCTCAAAGTCTCAAACACTTGGAGATGGAGACATGGAGCTGACAGGCAGCTGGCTGCTGGGAACGAAGAATATGTATAATAGTCTCGTAGACCAGCCACCTGCGCTGACATGCTTCTTCTTCTTCTTCTTCTAATTCCTCTGCCACTCCACATATATTAATCTAAATGAAGAGTAAAGGGGTTTGAACGACTTTGAAGGGTTTGACTCCATCCATCAAGGTCAGTAAATCCATATGAAATCTTTTTACCATAACATCACAATTCACAACAGAAACCTTACACTTGCACACTGTGACGATCCATCCATCTCTCTCCCTGTGCCACCTGATCCTGCTTCAAATCACGTGAAAGATCATCTCCTCTCCTCTTTCACTTCGCTGCTAACGACACGTGCCTTCCGTCTTCAGCTCTTCGATCCTTGACGTGTCAACAACTGTGTGCTGCTGTGTGTGAGTCTTGACACAGAGAGAGAGAGAGATCAATAGTCTGAACACAGGAGTGGATAGAGATAGAGAAGTACAGTACCGGGATCATTCAAAACCAAGACCAAAAGTACAAATGGCCTGAAATATCAACTCCACTCCACTTGTCTTTTTGCATGCCTGCTTTCTGCGTTTCTGCTCCCCCTCTCCTACCTCTCCGTCACCCAACCCAAAGCTCCCAAACTCCAAAAACCTTCATCCCCAACTCCCATAGTTTTTAATCTCTCAACCCCAAATTGCAAACTTCGAAAACCTCCAACCAAACCCCCCTTTCTCCTCACAAGATCAGACACCCATGCCAGCACATGCAGAGACAAACACAGACAAATCGGAGAGGACGACAATACTCTAACATTTATTTCTTAATCTCCTCTGAACAAATATTGCCATTAACATGGTGAGCTCCTAAACTTGGAAAAAGAAGGAGGGAAAAAAAGAAAAGCATCAAAGACTAAAAGGACGATAACCTAGCTAAGAAACTAGAATTTAGTTCAAGTTCAAAAGCACAGAACCAAAATATTTACGATTTCCCCCCCCCCTCAAAGTTGGGTATGAAGACTTGGGGTGCTTAGATGGTTCCATGCTCGATTCATCGACCCAAACTGAGTGCAGCTTTGACGTCCAACCTCCATGCAAAGCCTCCATCGTCCATTCTCCACACGTCACAAGGAACCGTCAGTATTGAGTTTTTGTCCTTCCTATAATTATGTTGCAGCCTCAATCGACACGCGAATTCTGGGTACGTTACAGGCAGCCTTTCCTTTGTCACCAACCACAACATCTCCGATCCCGACTCCCCTTGCTCTCCATGGCTTACCATCCTTCTGTAAGCCTCGTTCATCCACACCACTTTGTTGAATCCGTCCGATATGAACCCAGGACATATGTCCTTCTCGAGATTCTTCTTTTTCTCCTCGTCCGTCCTCCCCAATCCTTCCCCATCGATACACGCCTCTGTCACGCACTCAACAGTCACACATGAGACACCCACTGAACTCACAGACTGGGGGATCACCATGGTTTGAGCATACGTACCTAGCTTGCCCTTCCGGTTGTTGAAGCTCATCGTCGGGATCGGTACGTAGTTGGCTGGCGTTTTGAGATTCGTGGTCGTTATGTTTACGTTTAGATCGAGATCCGATGATCTTCCCAGCGGCAAATCTTTCGGTTCAGGCGTTTCGGGTAGCAACGGCAACAACGTCACGACCGTCTCTTTTAACCCATCTTTCTTTTCTTCTAGGAACGCCCTTTTCTTTCTGTTGCATCTTTTGTTATTCCCTCTACGATTGTACCTTCTCTTAGCTCGTTCCGTCCTGACAGAAACATCTTTATTCTCGGGCATAGGCGTACCCGTAAATGATCCACCGACAGCTGGTTTTGGCGCGATCGGCCGGAATCTAAGCATTATCCGGTCAACCTTTGACATATCATACCCACCGTCGTCGTACCGCGCGATACAGCAACCTCCCCGGCCGTCCATGTCTTCGCTCACTCCACCGTTGTTCTGTCCGTCCGTCTGTGTCTGTCTCTCTCTTACCTCACAAGGCTCACAACACCGTAAGTAACGCACTAAATGCAGCAAGGTGAAAGTGGGGCGAGTCGCTTAAGCAAGCCTCCTCTCCCCTACGGGCCTACCGTTGCTGCATTCTCTCCGTTGTCGCCACGTATTTAAATAGCACGTGTGTAGACAAGACTCCAAAGTCCAAACAGCACAGAGAAATGATTAGACGGAAGTGAAACGTGTCATCAGGGTAGGTGGGTCCACGTGATGGAAGCATATCAGACGAATAAGAGGTCGTGAGAGGGGCCCACTGAATGAAAGGTTTATAGGGTTGGTGTTCAGCAGAGGACGACACGTAGACGGGCATGGGACCGTGTCAGGAGAGAGAGAGAAAGAGAAAAGTAATTTGCTTTGTTGGTGGAGGTTCTGGAAGCAGTAGCTCGCATCCTGTGAACCCATAGGTTTACGGAAAGCGTGTACCTGCCAATAAAATTGTAACACATCGGAAATTTGAATCGGTGGAAACGCTAATGGTTGTTCAGCCGTTAGCTGAATAAACCCGGTTGAACCACCCACAAAAGGACAAAAGACCCAAATTTATTTCATTCGAACTCCCTCCTATTTTAAGTCTTCCTCTCCTCCGAGAACGGCGGCAAAAACTCTAGTAGTCAATCTACAGTCTCCCCAAAGACTATTTTTCTTTTTCTTCTTCTTCGAAACCTCATGTTATTTTCGCTCGTTTCTTCTTAACAAATCGAAGAACCCTTTGCAACTCACACCGGCCGTCATCAGTCCTCGGAACAAAGGTAATCTCTCCAAGCCCTAACCCCTGTTTCAGTAGATTAAACACCCCTATTACCCTATTTTCGGTTGGAGCTCTTGAAGCTATGAATTTATGTTATTCGATTACTCGGAGGTTGTTTACTAGAAAAGAAAAAGAAGATAGGGGTTTGGGCTTGGGGAGATTACCTTAATTTGTTCTGAGGACTGATGACCGCCGGTGAGATGCTAAGGGTTATTCGATCTATTAAGAAGAAACGAGCAAAAATAACATAAGGTTTTGAAAGAAGAAGAAGAAACAGTCGTTGGAGAGATTGTAGATTACATGTCAGAGTTTTTGCCGTCGTTTCACTGTCACGAACGCCGGTGTGTGATGAGTGGCCGGTGGGGTGCTTCTCTGGGTTAGGGCTTGGAGGAAAAGAAGACTCGAAATAGGAGGGAATTCGAATGAAAGAAATCTTTTTTTGAATTTTTTGTCTTTTTGTGAGTGGTTTAACCGGGTTTATTCAACTAACGGCTGTTAACGTTACAATCGATTAAATTTCTGACGTGTTGCAATTTTATTGGAAGGTTCACGCTTCTTGTGAAGCCACGGATTCACTGGATGTGAGCTCAAGGAGGACAGTTGGGCGAATGGAGAGAGAAGGGGGATGGGAACGAAACGACTCATCAATCGTTGATTTCGGCATCGGGCAATCTATAATTAGTAGGAGTAAGGGGGATATGAAGCCACGTGGACATATGGATAACGACAAATATCTCGGATTGTATCGTTGATGTCAAGTTAAAGAGCAGCGATTTGTCCCCCGCGATTGGAGAAAGCAATTAGATGGTTTCTCTGCTTTTCTTTTCCCCTTTTATCTTTATTTGGGTTGGGTTGGATCATGTTCATGGATGATGGGTGGGTGTACGAACTGGAACAGGGGAACAGGGGGGGGGGGGAGACCCCAAGCAGAAATAGAATTGGTCTTTTCGTGAATGGGGAGAGGCGTGGGCTAGGCCACTAATGGCAACCCCTGACCCTTCTGGCCTTCTCTGTAATCGCTTTGTACGTTGTCGGTCGGTACAAAACAAAACTAGAAGCTACTCGATGCAATGGTCATTTAGGAAAGTGGGCGAGGTTATTTTGGGTAATTTCGAATTCTTCGTCCGGTGTGGACGGGGTTTGAGATGCTTCTTTCTCTGAAAACGACAAACCATTTGGATAACTGGAATTGGGTATTGGCATGAGAATGAAGCTTACTTTGACAAATTCTGTGATTTTTTTTTTGGTATTTGGTGCTATTCACCACTAATAAATCCCTCTTTCCCTAAATTGATGGTACCAATTAATATATCAACGATCCACCTTTAGTTGGTGGCAAAGTTGAATTTACTCGTTAGAGACCACATGATTTTTTGGAAAAGTTAAAAAATAATGTATCAATAACCTACTGAAATGATATTTTAAACCTTGTGAATGCATCGTCAATATGTAATATTTGTTTTCAAAAAAACAACTGCAAATCATCAATAAAATACTTGGTCTTGGAAAACACCAAAGTTGTTTCTCTTATAATAATGTACTAAAAATTCTAAAAGGTCCAAGGTCCTAAGTCATTATGATCACCATTTTATATCCATAGTAGAAATGCATCAGAATCAGGATTAGGTAGAAGTCAACAAAGCAATTAAACCATGCATGCAAGGTGATCATATATGAACAATAATGTACTAAAAATTTTCAAACCAAATTAGATGACACCCAAATTAAAATATCATTAATTTAGTACACTGTATTTTGGGTCTAGTGTTACTTTGGCTTTTGAACTATAAAATGCAATAATTTAGTATTTGAATTTTTAAAACGTGACAATCAGTACCTATAATTAACCAGCAGTTAACCTGCTGTTAAGTGGCATTTGAAAATGACACAAATGCCTTTCTAATGTCATTTAGTTTTCTTTTATCAACTATTCAAACATTGACAAAAAAATTAATAATTTCAAATTCTTGCCTCTTCTATTTAAGAAAGTTGGGGTTACTACAATGCCCACTCAAACGTAATCCTAACTTTCTTGAATGGAAGAAGCAAGGATTTGGGCTTATTAATTTTTTGTCAACAGTTAGATGGTTGATAAAAAAAATTAAATGACACTCGAAGGGCATTTATATCCTTTTCAAATGTCACTTAACAGCAGGTTAACTGTTGATTAATAGTAGGTACTGGGTTGTCATCATTTGAAGGTTTGAAGATCAAAATGGCACTAGGCACAAAGTACAAAGTACCAATCTGGAATTTTCCCTTAAGTTGTATTTGTTTGAGATGTAAAGGCAAAACTCCATCGGTGTAAAAGAAGATTGGTCCAATATATAAGTGCAAAAAATGAATCGGATAAATACAGTTTTTACACTGCTGTGCGTTTGGTAGAATAGTGTAAAATATCAATGCATTTTCTGTATGCGTTTGGATGAACAATGGTGTAAAACTACACCCATGTATCGATGACGAATAAGATTGCCAACACTATAGTAACTAAGAGATGAAGCAACAATAATTAATTATATATTTATTTCTGTTGCTGTTGCTTTCCTGGAGCTTCCTCCCTTACTTTTGTGACAAATTCGTCACAGACCATGTGGTTGGTGGTGTCGGAGTGTTAGTATATAAATGCGTCTAAGGTCTAACCCAATTTGTCAAACTCAATCCATGCACAAAGCTTTCTATCCTCCACACATGTAACTACTTTTGGTTTAGCTGTAATCTATGCATCTTCCACTGAGCGTCTTCAACAGTGGAAGATTATTCCATTGTAACAAGCGTCTTCCACTGTAACAAGCACGTGTTATCAAACCACACATGTAGGTGACCCAAGCATATGTTGTCAAACCCAAGCTCCAGGTTTGTAAAGCCAAACAATGAAGGAGATATTCCTCCTTCAAACACTGCTTGTATTCCTCCGAGCGTGTTCGACAAGGTCACCTACAACACCCACATAGCTGTAATCTATGTGTACCGACCACCAACCCTTCCAAATGCGACCGTAAAGCAAGGCATCAACAAGGCCCTAGCAAAGTACAGAGAGTGGACTGACAGATTGGGAGCAGACAAGGGTGACCCTCTCATTCTGCTCAACGACCATGGGGTCAATTTTGTGGAAGCATCGGCTGACTCGACCAGACCATGCCCTTCAAGCCATCTCCAGCTTTGTTGCCTCCACCCCAGTCTCAAGGAGATAGAAGCCTTGCTGCAGGTTCAATTCACAAGGTTCACTTGTGGGTCGTTGGTGGTAAGGTTTATAGCCCATCACCTGGTCGCCGACGGCCATTCCAGCTTGTTGGGACATCGAGATGAGACATCGTCCCTTGCACAACCACGCCATGTTTGCTCCTCAAGACCCTCCTTTGATCGAGTTCGAACACAGAGGTGTGGAGTACATGAGCAAGGAAGTTCACCTAGCCCAACCGGCAGAATGGCAGTGAGAGGGCTTGCAAAGTGCTCGACGGTGAGAGAGAGAGACAATCAGAGGAGATGAAGACGAAGAGCCGTTGGCTTTACACCTTGTTTACTTCGATGGACTTTTACATCAAAAAAATCAATGTATAAAATGCATCGATAATCGAGGTAAAACAAAACCGGAAATCACTTTTACACCGATTTTCGATGTATTTTTACACCCATCCAAACGAATGCAAAATTAATCGGATTTTACACCCCATCCAAACGCAGCTTAAAGTTTTAAAGAACATAAAAGCCAATGACCTGACCTGGTAGTTGAATGAGATTTATCTTGTAGAACAGATGTTCTTTACTTCTCTATGGCTGATGGGTCTTATGTGCATCCTCATTTTTTCTCCTATCCCTATGTTTCTATCTATCCACCAAACTAACCCGATTACTATGATGCATAGGGATGGAAATGGGTTGGGTTAAGTGGTGTAAATCCGCACTAATCAGCCTTCTTATTGGTTTAGGGTCAGGTCAGCCTTGATTGGGTTTTGGGTTGAGGTAAACCTTTGATAAATTTTGACCCGTTGGACCATGTATGGTCCCTCTCTATTCTGATGGATTAGATTGGGTTCCGGGTTGAGTCAAAACAGTGCAAAAACCAACCCATTGACATCCCTGTTGAGAACAAAAAGGAAAAGAACAACATATAAGCTAATTGAAAAGCACCATATTTACATATTATTAACCATCACAACGCTACTTTACATCATGACAGTGCAAGTATCAACTTTTAAACCTTGCCTAAAACGAGTTTTCTCAAAGAAAAAAGCAAAGGGAAAATCGATGTACATGGAGAAGAGGATGTCAAGATGGTAAAGTCAAGGTTTTGGAGAGAAGGGT